ATAGAAGCACGTAAAAAATTAGTTTTTTTAGGTTAATAGATGAAAATTATTAAGAAAAAATAAATTATATATATCACTGGGGATAAATACGAAAGTTTAGAAAAATAGAGGGGTGAAAATAATAGTTTACAAAGCTCCAAGTGAAATTTAAAAAAATTAAAGAGTGGAAAAATCCACAAACTTATAAACATAAAATATAGATAAAATTACATAAATGATCCCTATGATTTATCCATGGTTACAAAGTTAGTCTCTGCTATCTGAAAAGACAAAATTACACTCACAACAAAAAGTAAAAACTAACAGTATTAGCAAAAAAAATCGTCAATACAAGATTTGGAAACCATAAGGATCATATTCATTAAAAATTTGACAAAGATTAAGTTTATGACATTTAGTAAACTATAAGGAACATTTATGTAATTTTTTCTTGAATTAATGTTTGGATAAAGATTTTTTTTTCAAAAAACGTTATAACGGTTTGACAAAATTGCAAAAATGGTCTTTATAGTTGTCAAAATTATGTGATTTAGGTCCAAAACTATTTTGTGGTGTAAAAGTGGTACAATTTTTGATACATTGTGCCTTTTTGGTCAAAAAAAATGTTAATTTTAACATATTGACTATTAACTTTTTTAAGATACTAATTTTACTCTCAAGGACCATTTCTACAACCAAACTACAAGGACATTTATGCATCTCTTTATTTAAATTTTATTCAATTATTATACATTAACTCTTTTTTAAATTTCTTTTTATTAGATTATTTTTTATTGTATTATTATATATTAATAAATATTATTTTTAATATATAATATTTATATATTAAAAGAATATTTATTTATTGTATTACGAGTTTATATTTAGTTAATTATTTTGAGTTTATATTTAGTTAATTATTTTTTTAGTTTCTTTTTAAGGGTTTATTTCTCTTATTATTTATTAATAAGTATTATTTTAAATATATAATATTTATATATTAAAAAAATATTACTGTATTGAGTTATAATTTCTTTTTTATTATATTAATTTTTTTATTAAGATATAATTTATTAACAATTATTTTTTTAATATATAATATTTATATATTAATAAATATTATTTAATTGTATTACTATTTTTTAATTGTTTTTATTTTCTTATCATTATTTTCTTTATTATTTTAAATCAAAAACCCTAAAAAAATCTAACTCACCACACATCTCCTTATTTATTTTAAATATTTAGAAGATAACATATTTTGGATAACACAACCACCATCACCTAATTTGGCAGTGGTGGGATATGTGAGGTTTTTATTTATTTATTAAATAAATTAGGATGTTGGTGGTGTTATAAAAAAAGAATTAATCCAATATAAAATGAAATTAAAAAAATAACTAAAAGAAATTAACAGTCTAAATAAAACAACTCATTTTCATCATCTATGTCTTCAAAATCTTCATCTTCTTCGTCTTCCTCCATGGATCACTCATTCTCGTCATTAGATATTTGGTCATACGTCTTTGTAGTTGAGGTTAGGCGCAATCATTATGCACGAGTTATAGTAAAGGGTGACTCAAACCGCTCTTCAACTTGAAAGATTTCATCTGCTTCTATGTGAGCTTCAGTGACTTTAAATACATCTCTTGGTTTTGTCTTGGTAACCGTTTACTTATCTTCGTCTCCTATGTCACCGAAGGGTATGGTATATAAACATTTGTTTTGTGATGACAAATAAAAAAGGTCGTCAATTTGAAGTCGAGAGTTGGGTTTGACATCAATCAAGTTGTTTTGTTGACTATTACACCGTCTTTGTTATTAAACCATATACAATTAAACCATACAACAATCGAGGGTCTGCTATCATAATACCCAATCTCTAAGATCTCTTGTAATATGACGTAGTAGTCTGACTCTTTTTCGGCATTATACGTATCCCCCATCGCACATACTCCTAAGTTATTGATCGCACGTCCCTCACCATGTTGTTTGGACTAATTTTTATTTTTATTTTTGGACAACACCACCACCATCCTAATTTATTTTAAAAAATTCTCACTCGTCCCACCACTACCGGACTGGATGATGGTGGTGATGTTGTCAAAAATAAGTAATCTTCTAAATATTTATAATAAATTAGGAGATGTTGTTGGGTGTGATTTTCTTTGGGTTTTTTTATTTAAAATAATAAAGAAAACAATTAAAAACAATTAAAAGTAGTAATCTATTAAAATAATATTTATTAATATATAAATATTATATATTAAAAATACTTTTTATTAGTAATTTATAATCCAATAAAAAAGAATTAATCTAATAAAAAAGAAATTAACAAACCAATAAAGTAATATTTTTTAATATATTAATACTATATATTTAAATAATATTAATTAATATATAATAATCCAATAAAAATAAATAATATACTAAAAAAGAAATTAAAAAATAATTAACTAAATGTAATTAATAACTCAATAAAATAATATTTATTAATATATAAATATTATATATTAAAAATGATATTTATTAATATATTACTATAAAGAAGCAATCTAATAAAATGAAATTAAAAAAAAAAGCTTTAATGTATAACAATTGAATAAAATTAAAAAGAAGAGGTGTAACAGTCATTGTATTTTGGTTGTAGAAATGATACCTGAAAGTAAAATTGTAATTTTGAAAATGTTAACAACCAAATTGTTAAAGTTAATATTTTTAGACAAAAAATGCAAAAAATATCCATAATTGAACTATTTTTACATCAAAAAATATTTTTAGACCAAAATTATATAATTTTAACATCGAAAAATATTTTTAGACCAAAATTATATAATTCTAAGAACAACATTCATAAGATATATGCAATTTTGTCTAAAGGTTTTAACCCATTAAAAACTTTTATTTCACCTGATTTAAGAATTGACCGATATGCCCTTTAACCTAATAAAACCTTACCTTTACTATTACGACTCCATTACAGCATCGCCTATCGCTTCTGCTCAAATCGACTCCCTCCCCTGGCTCGCAGCTGTATGCCGTCGCCACCACTGTGAAGACACCGACCGGAGACCTTCGATAGCTACAGCCACACCGTCGCACCCCACCACAGGTTCCATTTTCTTCCTTTTTTTGTGCTTTATTTCTTCCTTTTTTCTGCTTTCTTTTGAAATCGCTAATCTTGATATCAATTGATACCAATTTCAAGGTTATCGATTGATGCTGGTGTTATTATCAATTGATGTTGGTCGATTTCTTCGATAGCCACAGCTACTTGTTTGCTGCTACTAATTTGTTATTTGTTTGTTGTTCATATATGATATCCGTAAAAAAGGGAATGTGTTTTCTGTTCATATATGATTACTGAAGTGTAAAGTGTTTTGTATCTTGAATTAGATGTTTGAATTTGTGTTCTTAGCTTATATATATGATGGTTTTTTACCCGAGTTTGGATGCTTGCCTAGTTGCCTTGCAGGCAAGCTGTTTGATCAAATGCCTGATAGGGATGTGTATAGTACTTTCTTATTATGCATGCTTTCACTTATCAATTCTAATTTACATGTTTTAACTTTTAACTTTTGAATTTTGATGTTGGTAGCTTGGGAATGAACAATAGATGCATGGTTTCTGTATGAATTTCTTTCTGTCGCAGTTGTAAATGCACTTAAGGTCAAAATTTAAAAGGAAGCCCTTTTTGGTCCATTTTACACATATAATCTTTTTTTTTGTCAAACACTAAAAAATGCTTATCAGCTAGCTTATAGCATTTTGACACCGCATAAGCTAATCCAAACACAATTTTAAAAACTCCGTGTTGACACCGCATTAAGCTAATAAGCTATAAATTAAAAAATGCTTATCATTTTAAATAAGCTTAGCCAAACACCCTCTTACAATTTCCATTCCAATCTGCAAAGGGAAATAGCTGTTTCTGTCATTTCAATCCACCATGCCTACAGTTAGTGTTGGAAGGGACCTTCTTTTCGAAGCCTTAGGACGCACTTACAGTGAGTTTAACTCTAAATTTATTATATTCTCTTAAATTTCTATCAGTTCCCTTTAATCTTATTTTTCTTTCAATTATTTAATGTCAGCACAAGACGAGTTCGAAGAATTATGCTTCGACTTTGGAATTGAGCTCGATGATGTGGTAACTATCTGCACATTCTTATCCATTTGCCTGTATGTGAGATGTGCTTGATTTATCTAGTTTCATGTATATGCCAGACAACTGAGAAAGCAATTATAAGAAAGGAGAAACACCTAAAAGAAGATGAAGACATTGGTGGTGATGAAGAAATAATCTACAAAATTGATGTCCCTGCTAATCGGTACTTCCCTAAATTCACTTACATTGCTTATTTTCTTGAACGTTTTGATTTATTGTGTGACTTGCCCAATAAATAAACAATGCTGCTAGCATTGGCTTAGTCACTTATGTATAAAATGCTCATTTGCTATGCAGATATGATTTGCTTTGTCTTGAGGGGCTTGTGCAGTCCCTTCGCATTTTTCTTGGTCTTGATTCAGTACCGAATTACACTCTTGCTGATATCAGTCAGCAATCTATGCTTAAAATGCATGTAAAACCAGAGGTATTTTATCTCATTAACTAATTCTGGTGTGCTATGAATGTTTAAATCACAACAGCTCTTCATTTTCATATATGTATAAATTATCTTGTTCTCGTGTTCCAGACATCATTGATACGTCCGTATGTTGTTTGTGCTGTTTTGAGAGGCATAACTTTCAATGAGGCAAGATATAACAGCTTCATTGATCTCCAAGATAAGCTTCACCAAAATATATGCAGGTAATATATGAATTTTTTTTTCCAGCTGTAGTATGTTACAAGTGAAGTTGCTGACATCATTGGTTTCATCATGTTCTCATTTTCTATCTTCATTTTTTCAGGCGCAGAACCCTGGTTGCTATTGGGACACATGACTTGGACACAATAGAAGGACCATTCACATATGAGGTTTGTAGATTTGTTAAATACATTCAGATGATGCTACTTGTTCATTGATGCAACATTTTTACAGTGATTAAACTATATCAACATGTTGTGCAGGCTTTGCCACCATCAAAAATCGAGTTCAAGCCATTGAAACAGGTAAAAGTTGCATTATTTGTTTTGATTTGTTCATATTTGCATACATTATATATAAAATCACTCATGAGTATGGTATCTGTTTTTATTTATCATTATTTCAACTTCCAAAGACATTAATATCTAATGTTGGGAAATTGCAATCAATGCGATGATTAGCTATCATTGTTTTGCTTTACGTTCTTTTGGTATAATTTTTTCAGCATATTTGATATTTGTTTTGCTGTGTGGTAAGAGATTTGCTTATGCTGTGATGACTTCTTTTATAGGTGGAAAGTTTCAGAGCTGATAAACTGATGGAATTTTACAAGGTAGGCTCTGTGTGTGTATATATATTTATGTGTATATGTATGTCTTTTCACTGGTCTTCACTTATATTCCTATCAAGTAATCAACTACTTCTGTTGCTCATGTTTGAATGTGTGTGTGAGATCATGTCTGGTTATTTTGAGAGTTGTATGTCCATTGATTCACTTTTTGAAAGCCTTGTTTGCCTTCTGTTATGGCAGTCAGATATGAAACTGAAGAAGTACTTGCACATAATTGAAGACTCACCTGTGTACCCTGTTATATATGATAAAAACAGGTATTCTACCTACTCTTTATAGTAGTTCTGGTCATGGTGGTTGAAATTTTATGTTTTAATATTTCTGAAATCATGCAATGGTTAAGTATCTTTAATAAAATAAGTTGAACTTGAATTAACAAAACACATTGATAAGGTTTAATGCTTTAAAACTTACAATATTTTAGTTTAACTCTCTTTAACCGTCATCTTTACGTTACACTTCTAAGTAGGCCTGGGTTTAATCTTGATAGCTGTCTTTAGTTAGTTACTAAGGGCAATATGGTGATTATCTTGTTAGATCAATTAGGTCAGGACTTGGTATAAATAGGTGATTAGTAGTGTTGGTTAGGGATATGTTTGATCTATTGCTATAATTTGGTATATTAGAATGATGTGATAAGATTAAAAAGAAGATGCTATTACAAACAAATTAATGGAAGTATGTTTTTTGCAGACGTGTGTTGTCTCTTCCCCCAATAATCAATGGAGCCCACTCAGCTATTTCTACAAAGACCAAGAACGTGTTCATTGAATGCACAGCCACTGATTTGACAAAGGCCAAGATTGTCTTGAACACAATGGTTAAGTGTTTGTTTAATCATACCTTTTAAATCATTTTTAAAGAACAAGTGTATTGATAGAATTATGCATGTATTTATTAATTGTAGGTGACAATGTTTTCTGTATACTGTGAACGAAAGTTTGAAGTGGAGCCAGTTGAAGTAATATATTCTGATGGAAAATCCTACATTTGCCCTGAACTATCACCCTACGATATGGACGTCTCTCTAACATACATAAATGGTATCGCTGGGGTTACACTGGAAGCAAATAAGGTACTAAACTAAAACTTGTCTTTCAACTTGTTATCTGATTACTTACATTAAAATGACTTTTTTACCCTCCATCATTCAGGTTGCTGGGTTGTTGAACAAAATGCAATTACATGCCAAGCAATCAGTGATAAAGAATGATGAATGCATTTTCACCGTGTCTGTTCCTCCAACCAGAAGTGATGTGCTTCATGCATGTGATGTGGCAGAGGTACAAACAAAAGTAGTAAACATTGTTATTATTTCCATCAACTGACATATGAAAATATTAATTACTTTTTTTTTGTAACAAATTCGGAAGGATGTGGCGATTGCTTATGGTTTCAATGAAATTCCAAAGAGGAAGCCTTCATCCATAAAGCCTTTGCCTCTGAATCAGTTCAGTGATCTTATCAGAATGGAGGTACATATGTATGGTTGTAAGAAAATTGATGATAGATTTAATAATAAATAAAATTTTTGATTGTCTTTAGATTGCACTGAGTGGTTATTCGGAGGTGCTAACATGGATTCTATGCTCATACAAAGAAAATTTTGCTATGTTAAACCGTAAAGATGACAAATCAACCGCAGTTGTTATTGGCAATCCTCGCTCTGCAGATTTTGAGGTTGGTTTCTTTGTTTCCTTGCCTTGTGTTATTATTATTAAGTCTCAAACTTGTATTATTTTTTTCTATTAACAAACTTGTCAACTGTGTGTGTAAGGTTGCACGGAGCAGTCTTATGGCTGGGATATTAAAAACAGTCGCACACAATAAGGATCATCCAAAACCTATCAAGGTAGGTAATATATAGGTTTTGTTAGTATTAACAAACAATTTGCTTATTTTATTTTATTTATTATTATATCTGGAAGTATAGATATTTGAAGTAGGCGATGTAGCGGTGTTGGATGAGTCAAAAGATGTTGGGGCAAGAAACCAACGCCGACTGGCAGCTCTTTACTGTGGTGCTACTTCGGGTTTCGAGGTAAAATATATATCTTTTTATTATTATTATTATTATTATTATTATTATTATTTGTTTTTTGCTGAAGGAATATTAAAAAAACAACTTTTTGTTTGCAGCTGATACATGGGCTTGTAGACAGAATCATGCAAGTAACCGGTACTCCATTTGTATCCCCTGGGGACAATACCGGTTACCATATTGTTTGCTCAGATGTAAGAATTAGACTTGTTATTATTATTATTAAGTCTTAAAGAGTGTGATGCTTACAATTGTTGTGGAATGAATTCAGGAGCCCGAGTTTCTGTCTGGAAGACAGGCTTCTATAATTTTCAAAGGCAAACCTATTGGGACTTTTGGCATTGTTCACCCACAGGTAAGTACTACTCTTCAGTCCTTACAAATTGTTACTTACATTATATATATATATATATATATATATATATATATATATATATATGTATATTTTAAATTTTTTGGTGACTTTCAGGTGCTGGACAACTTTGACATACCAGATCCATGCTCATTTGTGGAGCTCAACCTCCAAAGCCTGCTATAATTTATAATCTTTGTCAGCATAGTGAAAATTGAATGTTTGTTTTTGTTTAAATTCATAAATATTTATCTATTTTTTCCCCCTGAAATGAGAGATGTGTAGCATATAAGATTTTGTAATTGTTTCCCTTAAAAATTATCTATTACTGGTGTATGAATTTTTGGTTGCTCATCGTTTGCCTTTGCTTATTTTTATTCATCATAAAACTTCAACTCATCTGAATTTTGTTCATTTACGTAAATACTGGTCAAATTGAGAAAATATGACAATTTCATTTGTTTTGTTTTTATCTTTTTCTTTTTCGGCTCACACTCGTTGGACATTTCTTTGCTGACCATGTCAACATCTTATGAAAAACAAATTAAAAGACAACTGCAAATTTGGTTTCTGTGGTATTCAAAAAAACTTTGGATACGGTCCAAAAAGTTTTCAACTTACATGTAAAGTCCAAAATCAAGGTTTTTCTGGGTTTTTGGTCCAAAAAAACTTAAAATGATGGTTATGTCATTTTGATTTCTTTTTTTCTTTTTCTATAAGTATTTTAATGCTATTATGATCTAAAAAAAATAGAAAAAAAAAGAATTTTTCATCATATCTCTCTCTCTCTCTCTCTCTCTCTCTCTCTCTCATTTATCGAATCAGGAAAAAAACCTAATTTTTTTGCTAATTGGGTACCAGATTATATGCACAATGAGACCCCAAAAAACCAGGTTCTTCAATTTTTTTTGCCCAGCTTCAAACAAACATATTTCTGTTCTTCAAGATCAAACACGCAGTCACACACATGCACTCCACCTTTGAATCTCGAGCTTCAGTTCATTTTTATCTCTCTCTCTCTCTCTCTCTCTCTCGCACGTATTTCTACCTAACCCTAGATCAAATTTCCCTCTTCCCTGATATTGTAATCGCAGGTGAGTGGTGTTCCCTCATTTTTAGTTCCAACTCACTAACACGTATTCATCCGTATGCACTTCCAAGTGACAATTCAAGAACCACACACCTGGATTGTCTGCTCGAAATCAAATAGAAACCCAACCACCAGAAGGCACAACAATCGTATTCCTTTTAAGAAGGTCAATAAGGTTAAACTTCTGATCTATCTTTAATGACTGCAATACCGATTAAAATTCTGGTTTCTGGGTGGGTCTCACTTCCCCAAGTTCTCCAACTCAATAGCTTAAACAAACAGATGATTCATTACAACTTCATCTCTATTAGATACATACTGATTTGTCACCCAAAAACAAAATAACTGGTGTGTGTTATAGTTGGATGTATGATTTTGGAAGTGCAAAGACGAGCCTGTGTTTTAGTTGTTGGAAGAACTTGTGATGCTTCTTTAGTCCAATTCATCAGATTCTTGAACTTAGAGATCTAGTGTGGTTTGTGTAAACTGATTCATCTGTTTTTTTTTTCTTTTGAGTTTGTCTTCCTCAGCATTCAATTTGTAATTTTATGGGGTTTTTTTTAGTTTGAACTAAGGTTCAATCTGTAGGTTTATATGTTGGTGTTTCTGTTCTAGTCATTGCCAACTGGTGTTCATTGAGTTCTTGGTCGAAATCGGATCGGAGAAAATAAGATCCTCGGAGGAAGATAGTCGGCTAGAGGAAAGGAAATAGAGTGTGGGATGGGTGACCTAAAGAAGAGAGAGAGAGAGAGAGAGAGAGAGAGAGAGAGAGTTTGGTGAAATTTTATTTTTTATTTTTTATTTTTTATTATTTAAATACCAAACTAAATAAAGAAAATAGAAAAAAGATATGAAAAGGGTAAAATCAACTTTTCAAGTGTATCAATGACCAAAAACCCAGAAAAACCTTGATTTTGGATCTTCCATGCAAGTTGAAAACTTTTTGGACCATATCTAAAGTTTTTTGAATACCACAGGGACCAAATTTGCAGTTTTGTCTTAGAAGAATGATGAGAAGGAGACACAAACTCCCAATCTCTTGGGCATATGAATGCCCTAAGCAATAATTTTGTAATTATTTATACTTTAATTACAAGAATATATAGTAAATGCCACTTTAACTATATTTTTAAAACTAATTTACTGGATATAGAACACAATGTATACATCTCGATATAAAGTTAACGCAATATATACATGTCAATATATACATTGCATTAAGACAAACCGCATAAATGGTCATATGATGGTTTGTCATTTTATTTGACTAAGGTCAAAACTTCGAAAAACTAAGGATATAGTTCTTGACCAATTTGGTTGTGGATTTGGTCATAATCAAACTTAAAAAAAGATTATTTTACCTTTTTATTAGTCTTTATATATTTTAACCTTTTAATATTTAATTAATAAAAAAATAAAGTCACATAAGTTGATAAATTAGCAAAAGATAAACAATGAAATTAAAAAGAAAATGAAAATCTAACAGGTTAGTGATGAAAATTTTAGATTTTTATTTTAGTCAGAAAGGAATGGGGATTTTAGGATTTGATTACTCGAGATTTGGTTTATTATTTGTGGTCTTTGGCAAAACAACTTATTAGCTTATTAGTTGTTCTATGTTGTTATCAGCTAAAAAGTGTTTAGATAAAAATAACTTATGACGGTTGCAAACCGCTAATAAATCATTTTTTCATAAGTTAACACCCTCTAACTTATTAGCCAATAAACTAATAAGCTATAAGCTAATAAGTAAATGCTTTCAATTTTTATATTTTTCTTTCAAAGCTCCATTTGTATATATAGAGAAGCTTTGTATATTTGATGAAAGGGCGTTCAACAATTTTAGGGATGCCAAAGTATTAAATTGAGGGTATGCACCTATTTTAGATAAAATGAAATTTTTACCACTTCTAAAGAAAAGGTAAGGTATATGCAATTGCATTCCCTTCTTGGGCTACAGCCTACAGACCCGCCTATGAATTCGTCGACCTTATAGATTGCTTCGTAAATATGTGAAATGCAATTAAGATTTAGAATAAAACAATAATTTCTATGCATAAATCGGTGCTTAAGAAAAACATAGATCAAACTTTATTACTTAAACATCGAAATACAAACAAAAAATTACAATCTCAGACATAATCGCATTAAACCTCCACCAGATCAAGAAGTAATCGAACATTCAAACCATCACACAACAAGAAACTTAACATCTTATTCTATGTCTCCATGATGAAGCATTCTAGAGACAATGAGCCAATTTCCAAAACACGATTGCTTATATAACAGACCGAAACTCATGTGTTGGTAGCATCAACAACCAGAGAGTTGATATGATTAATGAGTTCTTCTCCAACATGTGTGAAATGGTCCTTATTCTTATACAAGACATCCATTAGACATGCTAAACTGATTACCCTCATTATTATAGGCATTTTAGCATCTTTATGGATGAGAGACTATTAATTTCTTTACATGCATCTTCAACTCTTTGCTTGAACAAACCATAAACATGTTGTTCAGTGACATCAAATTGTTTCATGTAACACTCAATACCAGAGGCAACATGCTTTCTTTCTTGCTCCTCCTGTATTTTGTTAAAATCTTCAAAATTAGCACTATCACTTAACACAATATCAATAAATGAATAAGACATGCTATTTCATCATATAATGGTGAGTTCAAAATATATTATTTTCAATGGAGCTAAATGGTGTTGTGACGACCTTGTTTTTGAATGTATTATTAAGTCTTTTTGATGTAATTAAAGGTAGATGTCGGAAGCTCTCGCTAGGCTCAGATGCTTGGTTGTTTTTCCCTAATTTGGTTTAGTCGTTGTGTTGTTTGGGTTGAGTTGTAGCTACTTTCTTGCTAGCGAATTTCGCTTTGCCATGAATAAATTGTAGTTTAAAAAAGAGACCGGTAAAATTAGGTTGTTTTGTAGTTACAAATAAATCACTTTGTAGCATAGCAAAGATTTCAATTAGGTTGCTTTGTAGTTACAAATAAATTACTTTGTAGCATCTCAAAATCAACAATCGGATGTACCTTGTGTGTGACAACATCATCCATTATCCTACAAAGCACACAACAAGCTTTCACAAGAGCATGATTTGTGAAAGCCCAGTCATGTCTCATTTCTTATTACATCACTCATGGCACTGAAACTTGCTGCTAGAGTAAATTTGTATCCGCTACTAATATATGTCATTTTTATGTGTTCCTTGATTATCAGTATAGGCCCTTTATGTGTCCGTTTTGCTTCTATCATGTAGCTTCTAATGTTTTTTTTCATCTACAACGAAAATAAGTTCAATCACATGCAACCAAATCAATATCCTTATAAGCAATCCCATAAAATCGTCAAAAGAGTCCACTTTATGTCATGTGTGCCAGTTAGGCAAACATGTTAAATTGCCTTTTTGTTTATCTACTTCTGTTTCACATTTTCCTTTTGAATTGATACATTCGGATGTTTGGGCATCTCCTATTGAAAGCTTGAGTGAAATTATGTGTGAGTCTATCCAATCCGTGCAAAATCTAAGTATGAATGTTCTTACATTTGCACATTTTGGTAAGTTGTGATGTCTTGAATAAGACAAAGACCAGCTAGTACCAAATTGTGTGTAGATTTGTCTTGATAAAGACACACACTAACTCTTGAGTATTTGTTTGTCAAGAAATGTTTCTTGACAAGAGAATCTTATATGTTAAGAGGTTAGTTGGAGTCTAAATGATCTTGAAAAGGTTCAAGAACTAATCAAGAGTAAACCTATGGTTAAATACTAGCACACGACTTGAGGTTTGTAACCTATCGTGTTGACATATTCTTGTTTCTATGCCGTTCCAGGTTGGTCAACTATGCATGTGAGTTCTATGAGTTCTTAATGGGTTACATAGGGGCAAGACACCTTGATCAATGGAAAGTACATTGAAAGGTAGGGGTGAGCTGCTAAATAACTTGGAAGCAACGGTGGGACCCTTGATGGCAAGAAATTAAGATTAAATAAGTTCGGTCCATATGAGTTGGTTTTGTCACAAACATTATCTTGT